AGAGAGAGAGAGAGAGAGAGAGAGAGAGAGAGAGAGAGAGAGAGAGAACGCAAAGGTCATGAGGTAAAGGAATTAGAAAAATTCCATCAGTTGGTAGCATTATCCCCACTTGCCATATGGTCAGTAATATAAGGGCTTTAAGTAGAGAAGGGAGTCCCAGCTAGGACTATATGCAGGAGTTTTATCATATAACAGGAACCCAGAAATAATTAGGAGGAGCATAAAAGTACAAATAAGTGGGGAGAGAGGTACCAGATGGATAGGGATTTGAGCATCTCTAAATGGGGCTATGTCCTCAAATAACCCACTGTGATTATAACTGGACCTCTAGTCCAGAGGTACAATAGAAGGAGTACTGCCTCTGAAATCTGAAGGCCTGGGTTCAAATTCTGTATCTATGTCTGTGCCAGTGTGACTTTGGGTAAGTCACTACTTCCCTGGACCTCTGTTTCTTCCTTTGTCATAGGAGAGGGGGTTAGATTAGATGATCTCTGAGGTCCCTTCCAGCTCTAAATCTCTGATCCTGTGATCTCTGATTAGATACTTTCCCTACCTTCGATAATTAGAAAGACTTTAGTGATTTCTTTGCTGTAGGTTCTCTGTCCACCAATGCAGATCACAACCCTTCTCCACTATAGTCAAAAAAAACATTAGCTGATGATTAATGGTGATGAATTTCACAAAATCCGCCAGGCTGAGCCTTAGATAACAGACACAGAATCTGCTGCTGATCTGTTGGATGCCTTTTGAGCTTGATATATAGTTTGCCAGGCCTTGTACTTCTCTGGAATAGCTTTCAAGACCCCATAGTCACCTCCATGCTGCAATGGGCCCTTGGAGGAGGACTGCCTTCAGCAAGTTTCCAGAATTTAAGTGTTTGCCACATGCCCTTTCCCCCTGCTGTTGAAATCTATTTACTTCTATACAGTAGTCATAAAACATGATTTTAAATATCTCTAGCAGCAGCACCCTCACAGTTCACAAGATGGGGGACATTGCTCTCTTTTCTCTGTGGGTCAACCACTACACAATTGTTATTACAAAACAAACAAATTCAATATCCTGGTGGAAGGAAGCAAGAAAAGCTACAAAGTCCATCACACCCACTGTTCAATTTCAGAAAATGTGATTGTTGCTATTGTCACTTTGTTAAGTTTTCAAATTCAACCTTAAAGAGATTTTTTTCCACTTTTGGCACTTTACTTGCAAGCCGAATAAATTGCCTTCAGATGAGCAGTAGTGTCTTGGTTGCATGCTATGAATGCTTCAAATATGGCTGATGGACAGAATAACACACTTTCAATTTAATTATCCTCAACAGTTGCACCAAGGAGCATGCTTTTTTTTTTATTACTGGAAAGGATAGAACAAAAATGACTAAAAGCAAGTTTATAGCCAAGGTAGCTAAAGAGATGGTAAGAGAGCACCTATTCCTTGTTGATTAATTCACTTTATCTGGCAAAGATGAACTACACATCCTTGGGCACTGAAAGAATGGGGAAAAGTTCATGACTAAAGAAAAATTAGAGAGGATCACAAAAGATAAAACTGGTAATTTTGATTCTATAAAATTCAAAACTTTTTGTACAAACAAATCCAATAAAACTAAGATTAAAAGGGAAGGAATTAACTGAGTATGAAATCTCTGCAGTAAGTTTCTCTGAAAAAGGTCTCATTTTCAACATATATAAGGAAGTGATTCAATTTTGGGAGAATTAAATCCATTCCCCTATTGATAACTGGTCTAAGGATATGAATAGGTAGTTCTCAAGGGAAGAATATCAGACTATCTATAGCCATATGAAAAAATACCCCAAATCACTACTAATTAGAAGCATACAAATTAAGGCAATTCTGAAATTCGACGTCATACTCAGAGTGGCAAAAATGACAAAAAAAGAAAATTATGAATGTTGGAGGTACTTGAATTTGTATGACCATTCTGGAAAGCAATTTTGTCCATTTTTATAAAGGAAAAGGAAATAGGTTGTCCAGTGAAAATCATAGGGGTGTCTTGCTCATAGTCATTGCCAACAAGATTCTTGCCAGAGTCCTCCTTAATAGTCTGATCCTTCACCTGGAAGATTGTCATTTACCTGACAGCCAGTGTGGCTTCAGAAAAGGTCAGGTTAATACGATGTTTGCTGCCTGACAACTCCAGGAGAAATGTCAGGAGCAGAACAAAGATCTGTACACAAAGGTTCGTTGATGCCTTTGATCCTATTGTGACTTGTGGAAGATCATGGCAAAATTTGTTGCTTGGAGAATTTCATCAGTATTGTACGCCAGTTACATAATGGCATGCTTGCATGGGGTCTGGATAATGGATGATGCTCTTGTGCTTTCTCAGTCACCAATGGAGTGAAGCAGGGCTGTGTGCTTGCTCCCATGCTTTTTAGCATAAATGGTTTGTGTGTATGTGTGTGTGTGTGGCAATTGGGGTTAAGCAACTTGCCCAGAGTCACACAACTAGTGAGTGTTATGTGTCTGAGGTGAGATTTGAACTCAGGTCCTCCTAACTCCAGGGCCAGTGCTCTATCCAGTGTGCCACCTAGCTGCCCCTTAGCTTCATTTTTTAGTGATGTTGTCAGATACCTTCAACAAGGATAAAAATAGCATCAAGGTTAGCTACTATACTTATAGTAAATTACTTAACTTGAAAAGGCTACAAGCCAAGACTAAAGTGGAGGGGGCTTTTTGTTTGCTGGCAATTGTACCCTCAACGCAGCCTCTGAGGCTGAGATGGAACAGAGCATGAATTGATTCTCTGCTGCTTGTGCTCATTTTGGCCTGATAATTAACACCAATAAAACAGAGGTTCTCCACCAGCCAGCACTGCACCATTCACATGTGGAACCATCCGTTATAGCAAATGGAGAAATTCTGAATAATGTGGGTAAGTTCCCTTACCTTGGCAGTATACTTTCCAGGGATGTCCACATAGATGATTAGGTTGATACACACATTGCCAGAGCTAGTCAGTGTTTGGGAGGCTCTGAAGGAAAGTGTGGGAGAGAAGAGGTATTAGGCTGTCTATCAAATGGAAGGTTTATAGAGCCATTGTTGTATGCCTTATTGCTGTATGCCTGTGAAACCTGGACAGTTTACCAGCACCATACTGGGAAACTGAATCACTTACATTTGAATTGTCTTAGGAAGATTCTGAAGAGCACTTGGCAAGATAATGTACTGGACACTGAGGTCCTTTCTTAATCTGAACAGCCAAGCATTCAAACTCCGCTGCAGAAAGTATGGTTCCAATGGGCTGGCCATGTTGTTCGAATCCCAAACATACATTTGCCTAAAAGATTATTTTATGGAGAACTCACACAAGGCAAGTACTCCCACGGAGGTCAGAAGAAGCAATAGAAGGACACTGTCAAGGTCTTTTTGAAGAACTGTGGAATCGATTGTGGAGACACGGAGGACACTAGCACACTGTGTCTAGCATGGTATGCCTGCTTCAAAGAAGGACCTGTGCTCTGTGAGCAAAGCAGAATTGCAATAGCTCAAAAAAAGTGAGATACACAAATTTAGAGACATCTCCATGCCAAATGTTCATATGGACCTGTAGTAGAACCTTCCAAATTCATACTGATCTGATCAGCCACAGTCAGATACACGACACCTTGACCCCTACATAGTGATGTCATTTTGGTCCTCTTTGATCATGAAGGACAACAACCAGTCTCCATTATGATAACTGGTCATAAAATGATAATATGGAAAAATTGGACATGGTGAACATAGAACTACATCACTGTAGAAGATGGTGAACTAGTTTTTATTAAGTGCCTAATATGTGCCAGACAGTAATTATATTATTGGCCTGTGAGTCAGAAATGAGGTCCTAAATTCTAAAAGCTGCATTCATATCTAGGTCAAGAATTTCTATCTTTTCTGGAATATTCTTAAGTGAATGCTAGTTAGAATGGTCAAAGAAACTTCTTGTCTAGTTGTAGACACACACATCAGTAATTCAATGGCTCTATGATTTCTTTGATGCAGGCGTTTCCTTCTCGGGTACAGATCACAGCCTATCTATGCCTTCTCAACCAGTGTATTCCTTGTTCATACCCTCTATATATCCTTCTAAGAGGATTGACCCAGCACACTGTAGTCTGTCCTTTGCATCTTTTTCTCCACTGACTGCTCCTAAAATCAGAGGCTGTTATTTTAGACGTTAATATTAAACTAGAGCAATGTTATACTTTCTGGTGGTTCTTTTTATGAAATGAATCCTGAAATTCAACATTTTCATATGAATGTAGCACTGTTTTTGCCTTGATCAGTCGCAAGAACAGGTTGAATCCTGGAAAGACACATAGAAACCTTCATTTTGAAGAGTCCACTAAACCCACTCTTAGTTTTGTATGTCTTGCAATGATCTTTGACCCAAAGCAGTAACTGCTGATTGACTTATTTACTGGGATCAGGAATATGCAATACAGGGTCTCTCGAGAAAAGGAACAAAAAGCAGAATCAAAGGACTCTTCTGTTTTGAGTTCCCTGTAGCTATTGTCTAACCTTAGAATCAACTTTCATGGTCTCATTCCAGGTTTTAAAGTTCTTCAGTACGTCTATAGTTCTCCATCTTCTACCTCATGACTAGGCAGGGTGAACATAGCCAAAATGGGACTAAGTTTTAGAAAATAAAAGGTGAATAAATTTCTTGGAAACACAACAAAAGAAAACTAAGATGGTGTGACTCAATAAGCATGAAATACCAACTCAGTGGGCATGGAGATGCAGTGGCAGAGTAGTGCTCTCTAGCATTTTGAATAACAGATGTTCTACAAATCTTCCATCTTACAAATATACCATGAAGTCCATTTCTCCAAGCAACTAAGTGAGGACTACCTCCATGTCCACTATTGAATTGACTTAAAAAAAATCCTGTTTATTTGGATATTTCAATGATATCTAAATTCTTTATTCAATGAACATGACCTTGGAAAACAAAATGACATTGGAGTTGGAGTTCAAGTTTTGGTTTTGTCATTTGTTAGCTATATAGCCTTGAGCAAGAAACTCAAACTTTCTGGGTCTCAGTTTCCTCATATGTAAAGCAGGACTGAAAATATTTTCGCCAATACTTTCATAAGGCTTTGTGAAAGTGCTTTGTTTACACATGAAGAGCTGTCAGTATGTAGCCTATTATTAGATATTCTATTTATTAACAAGGAAGTCAGAACCAGAGGTGGGTCTTAGTCCTGGGGAGAATGGTGATCATGCCCACCAGTCCAATGGCCTTGGTTTGAAAGGAAAAGGGAGGAACTGTTTTATTCCTTTCTTTGCTATTCCTTGGGACTGCTATAAGTGAATTAAAGGGAATTTCAAAGAAAATTGCCATCGGCTGAAATCATCAGAGCCACTACTGATCAAAACCATCATATAAACCCTTTTTCATTCTGGCGTTCATGTTTAGTTCAATGAATTTTGTCCGCCATTTGTTAAGTATCTAATATGGGCAAGGCAGCACAGCGTAATACATGGAATGTTGGACATGTTATCAGGTGCATTTGTTCAAATCCTATTTCTAATGCTTTAGCCACATGACCTTGGTCAAACCACTTAATATTGTTGTGGCAGAAAGATTATTGGTTCTGGAGCTAGGAGAGACCTGGTTTTGAAGTCATCTATCAGAGCTTAATGTAACTCTCTAAGACATCTATTCAATTATAGACTAATTGTGATCTATATCAGGGTTTCTTAAACTTTTTCCACTCATGATCCCTTTTTGTGTTTCAGCAGTATTCATTGGTGTTGTGTGGAGTGACGGCATGTGCGGTGCAAAGTGCGCATGCTTTGTGTTCAGAACCAAGGCTGCAGTGAAGTTAAGTGGTGCAACCCAGGCGAGCACTGCCAGAAACACCTCGGATTCATTATGTGTTTGATTTTGAATTAATTTTTGGTCTTTGAATATTCAGAAACCTTTTACTGTTGCCAAATTTTTGCAACCCCATATGTGGTCATGGCCCACACACAGTTTAAGACATGCTGAATATGGTCTAGGGAGTTTCTACACATAATATGATATAATAAAAGATTTTTGATGTATTGACATATGCACAAGGCAGTGTCGTAGTTCATGGACATGCAGAAATGAAAACTGGCACAATTCTCTGCCTTCAGGAACCTCAGAGTTTAGTAAGGAATTGAGACATATCTGTTTGTCAAGTCAACAAGCACTTAATACTCTCTTCTTATGTGTCAAGCACTGTGATAAGCACAGCACAAATACAAGTAGAAAAAAAAATCCTTGCCTTCAAGGAACTTACATTCCAACACATAAAAGAAAGTTGAAAATTGTATATATGTGTGTGTATGGTGTGTGTGTGTGTGTGTGTGTGTGTGTGTGTGTATGTATGTATGGTGGCAATAGACAAAGAAGGGAAGGGGAGAGGTCCCTGACATGTGGACATTGTAGAGAAAGTCCAAGAGAATCAGGAGTACATTTTGGAGAGGAATGAAGACATGACTAGTCTGAGCATCCTCGTTATAATAGAAGTTCTGGAAGAAGCAAGCCAACTAGAGAAGCCATAGTGGGGAAAGAGTACTTTCAGTGTGTGACGTCCCAGAGGTAGAGTGAACTTCCAGGGTGAAGACGTTTCTGGGGCATTGTAGAGAACCTCTGGGAAAGTCAAGGGTCAGAGAAAGTCAAGAGATAGATGGAAAGCGTGTGTGTGTGTGTGTGTGTGTGTGTGTGTGTGTGTGTGTGTGTGATATTTATCTCAAAGATCTGTGATGTCTTCATTATAGGTATACTGCCCCTTAAAGCAGATCACAACCCCCTCATGCCTTAGTAAATAGTTTCATTAGTTGATGTGGCTAAAAAATAATCACCTGTGGTTAACCTTTTAAGATGATGAGCCTTGAAGAGCTGAACCAGGCTGCTTCTTGGACAACAGAAATACAATTCTTCATTGAGACCATACTTGAAATCTTTTTATTTCGGTAGGACTTCACAGAATTTATGCTCCCCCTTTTTGCTGCCTTTGAGAATGCAGTGTCACCTCCATGCTGTGAAGAGTCAGAGAGGTAGAGGAATAAGTAATAAAATTTTATGGCAACCATGACAGATTGGCAAGAGAGCAGGCATGGCATCAGGAAGACCTGGGTTTAAGTCCCACCACTGACACATACTGATTGTGTGACCCTCAGTAAGTCACATATCTTCTAAGTTCTCTACACAACACTAAGATAAAATGTCTCAAAGAAGGTGCCAAACTGCATTGGTAGAAGGAGTTTCCTCATCCGGAAGTTCCCAAAACAATACTACCTATCACACTGGAAAGTCATTTTGTTCAAATAAGAAGTTAAAAAGAATGGCTTGAAGATAGAAGGGGTAGTTTTGACCCCTTCCTTTGTTAACTCTTAATATTGACCACAAGCTAGCAGAGCAGCTAAGTGACTCTGTGAATAGAGTGCAGGGCCTGAAGTCAGGAAGACCTGGGTTCAAATCTAGCCTTAGACATTTACTGACTGTGTGACCCTAGGCAAGCCACCTAACTCTGTTTGCCTCAGTTCCTCATCTGTAAAATGAGCTGGAGAAGGAAATGACAAACCACCCTGGGTATCTTTGCCAAGAAAATGTTAAATAGGTCACAAAAAATCAGACATGAATGAATAACAAAAAGTGAGCTAAATAGAATTTTGAAGAAAATCTTCTTGAATCAAGAACTATTAGTTTTAACACTGGAAAATAACAATACAAACCTTCTTCCATTTTGTTCTTGGTGTTCAGTTCAATGCATTTTGACAGCCATTTATAAAGTTCCTAAAATGTACAAGGCTTCATGGCATAAAGGACATAGTCAGGAAGACCCAAATTCTAATCCTTCCTCAGATACCAAATATGTGACCGTGGGCAGGTCACTTAACTTCTCAGAGCCTCTGGTACTTCTACTCAGCATACTCAATTATAAACTAGTTGTAATTTGCTTGGTGGAAGGAGTTTGAAGAAGTAGAATCAAAGATAAATAAGAATATAAGCTCTCTGAGGACAAAAACTAATTCATCTTTTTCTTTGCATCCCTAGCACCTAGCACAGTGCAATGTCTGGCACATAAAAAATACTGAATAAACGCTTGTTAAATGAGTAATTGATGCAGAAATTCAAAGAGAGGGAACATTTTCAGCTGAGGGATAATGGAAGGCTTTATGGACTAAGTAGTTCTTGAGTTTGACCTTGAAGGAAAAGAATTTTAATTGAAGGAAACAGAGGGCAGAGTGGAGTGGGTTCCATTATAAGAATGGGAAATTGAATGTGTAGACAGTTAGTGGAGGTGGGAAAGAGTGCTTTGGTTGAAGCAGAGAGTATGCAAAGAAGAGTACTGTGATGCCAGGATAGAAATGATGGAGCCAGATTGTTAAGAACCTTGAATGCCAGACTAAGGTTTATATTTTATTCTGTAGGTGATTTGGAGAGGAGCCACTCAAGGTTGAGTAGGAGACTGATGTGATCAAACTGTACATTAGAAAGATTACTTTGGCAACGGTGTGAAGGACAGACTGAAGAGGGAAACACTGAAGACAGGGGGAAGAGATAGTAGACTATTACACTAGTCTAAATGAGCAGTGAAGGCTTGAAATATGGCAATAGCAATGAAGTTAGAAAGGAGATCAGAAAGGAGAGGACATATGGGAAAGATGTTTTGGTAGGAGAATAGACAGGACTTGGCAAGGAATTGTCTGTGGAAAGTGGGGAAGATAGAAGAGTCAAGAGTGGCTCCAAAATTACAAGACTGCATAATGGTGTTGTCAGAAGAATAATGGTGCTACCATTGTCAAAAATAAGTAAGTTATGAAGAGGAGCAGAGTTTTTTGGGAGGCTCGAGGAATGTTCAGTTTTGGACATATTGAGTTTGAAGTGTCATTCAGGAGGGTATGTCCAGCAGTTGATGGGATAGCAGGTGATGTGGGACAACATATTGGAGATGGACATATAGACTTTGAAATCAACTTCATTGAAAGTTGATAATTGAAATCATGAGAGTGCATGAGACTGTCAAGTCAATTGTCAAAAAACACCTATTAAATACCTACTATGTGCCAGGAACTGTGATAAGCTCTGGGTATACAAATATGAAAAAGAAAGATGGTCACTGTCCTCAAAGAGCTTACGATCTAATGGAGGAAGACAATAAACAGCACACAAAAGAAAGTTGCCATGGTTTTATGGCTCCACCCTCCAATGAGGGGGCAGAGGGTACTGATGAAATGTGAGTAATAAGATTCTGTCTTTGCAAGATGAAGAGATTTCTCAATGATAATTTACTGGCGGCATGGTAGAAAAGCCAAAGAAGTCCACAGTGGGAGAGAAAAGGCCTTAAGGCAGAAGCCAAGTAGGAGAATATAGAGAGGAGAAGAGAAGAGTGTGGGGGCAGAGCTTTGGGGAATCACCATGTTTGGGTTGGGGAAGTGGTAGGGAAGAAGAGGAACTAGCGAATGAGACTGAGGATTGGTCAGGTTGGAGACCAGGACAGAGCTATGTCAAGAGAATAAAGGAGGAGGGCAGTGTCAACAGTGTTAAATGTAGCAGAAAGGTCAAGGATGAGGACTGAGAAGAGACATTGGATTTGGTGATAAGGTGAAGGTGCCATTCCAGAACCTCCTTTGAGGAAGTAGTTTTAATTGAATAGTGGGGATGAAAGACAGATTGCAAGAGATTGAGGAGTCGGTGAGTAGAATTAAAGACTTTGAGTAGAGACTACTCTCTAGAAGTTTACCAATAAAGGAGTAGAAATGTAGGATGATAAGTTGAGGAGATTGCCCCAGTAAGGAAAGGTTGTTTTTGTTGATTTGCCTCGTTTTTGTTTTGTTTTGTTTTGTTTTTTGGATAGGAGAGACACTAGTGTGTTTGTAGGCAGTGGGATTGGTTGGTTGTCCTTCATTCTTGAAGCGAACCAAAATGACATCACTATGTTGGGGTCAAGGTACAGCGTGTCCTACTGTGGCTAATCAGACCAGTAGGAGCTCAGAAGGCTCTCCTACAGGCAGTGGGGTTAGAGACAATGGAGAAGAACAGATTGTATTGTACAGCATGGGTATGTTTTCATGCCCTACTTCCTGATTTTAGGTCATAGGATCATCAATTCAGAGCCTGAAGGAACCTTTGACACTGTTGAATCCAACCCTTTCATTTAATAGATGAGACTATTGAGGCACAGGGATGTTAAATGGTTTGTATAGGGTTATACAGTTGAGTGTTTTTGGTGGCATTTGAACCCAGGTCATCCCAACTCCTAGTCCAGTGCTGTATCCACTCTGCTGACTTGTTGAAATTTGATGATTTTATCATCTCCCTGGCCGTAAGTAGAGTCTTTTACAGGATGTGATGGCACCATGGTTCTCTGCTTTCCTTCACTTTCCCAAATTCTGTATGTATTGATTTTCTTAGATGCAGGGGGCAAAGAGCAGTATTAAAACTGAATTATCATAGACAAGGAATGGATCTAGTTACTTAATGCCACATTAGCTCAAACCTTGCAAAGGAGGCTGAGATCTCCCTCTCTGTGAACAGTACTGTTTACACTATTCACTGAATTCACTTTGGCACCCAGCTGATTTTTTTATCCCTGTCTTTCCATTTATTAGATGAAGGGCTATCCAAAGAAAGAAAAATGTGGATGAAAAAGTACTTGGGGTTAAATGAGGCCCCAAAAGAAGTAAATACAGTTGACAAGATTCTGTTACAATAGCCCATTTTTACAAAAGCTGTAGAAAATGTTCTCTTCATCCAAGCACAATTACCCCTATCTTGCAATTGAGGAAACCAAGACTTTTTTTTTTCAAGGCAATTGGGGTTAAGTGACTTGCCCAGGATCACACTGCTAGTAAGTGTGAAGTGCCTGAGGCCAGATTTGAACTCAGGTCCTTGGCTCTAGGCTTGGTGCTCTATCCCCTGAGCCACCTACCTGCCCCGAAACTGAGACTTAAAGGGTTGAATTGACTTGCCTAGGGTCACTCAGCCTTTACATTTCAGAACTAGGATTTGCACCTAAGGTCTTTGACTTTAAGGCCAATTCTGTATTAGAGTACACCACCCTCCCTCCATCTGAGTGAAATTATCAAGGAAAAGTCTTACAATTCCTTCTGATAACAACTTGAAGTGTTCAGTTCAATAAACATTATATTATATTTTAAAAGCCTCATATGCCAGATGCTGAACTAGAGGCTGGGCTTATAAAATAGGAGGGAATTTTAGCCAATGGCCTTCCACTAGGGCTATTTTGGCACATAACAATAAGGAAAAGTGATTTGGACAAGGTCATATAACAAATCAAGGGGTGAGCTGGGACCAGCATCCAGGTTTTCTGGTTCTAGAACTCTTCCTACTAGCTTCCTAGTTTTGATTGTTTTTCAAAGCAATGCCAGAATTATAAGGCAGCTAGGTGGCACAGAGGATAGAGCATTAGGCCCGGAGTCAGGAATACCTGAGTTCAAATCCATCCTCAGATGCTTACTACCTGTGTGTCCCTCGGCAAGCCACTTAACCCTGTTTGTTTTAGTTTCTTCGTCTTTAAAATGAACTGGAGGAAATGGCAAACCACTCCAATATCTTCGCCAAGAAAACCCCATGGGGTCATGAAGAGTTGGATATGACTGAAATGACTGAACAACAACAATAACAAAAAATGCCAGAGTTAAATGAGATAGGGATGGTTCTTTTCCCACGTACAAGATCTTGTGCAAACATTTGTCCGGGGCACAACAAACAGGACAGTACCCTGGGAATCCAGAGACTGACATTTAATTCCATCTCTGCCTCTCCTAATCATTTGAGCCTTGATTGACCATTTGCAAAATGGGAAATAACAACAGTGAAAAAGAAGCACTTTAAGGTTTGCAAGGTGCTTTGCATAACTAACTCATTTCGTCCTCACAACACCATATGGTAGGGACAATAGATATTACTGCCTACATTTTACATATGAGGAAACTGAGGCTTATAGCTCGTGTCAGAAACAGGATTTGATCCTAGGTCTTTCAGGATCCAAGTCAAGTGCTCTATTTCTCTA